TTTTTGGTTTTTTTTTTGAGACGGAGTTTTGCTCTTGATACCCAGGCTGGAGTGCAATGGTGCGATCTTGGGTCACTGCAACCTCCGCCTCCTGGGTTCAGGCAATTCTCTGGTCTCAGCCTCCTGAGTAGCTGGGATTACAGGCATGCGCCACCGTGCCCAGCTAATTTTTTGTATTTTTAGTAGAGACGGGGTTTCACCATGTTGACCAGGATGGTCTCGACCTCTTGACCTTGTGATCCACCCGCCTTGGCCTCCCAAAGTGCTAGGATTACAGGCTTGAGCCACCACACAGTGTTTTAAGCAGACACTCCCAACACCTGAGCTCACCACAACAGCAACAGGAGGTGGCTAGAAAATTATTACAGCAGTAAAGTATGTTCTGAAGTTAATTTTAGCAGTTATGAGTTAATCCTGCATCTTACATTTGTTTACATTTTTCTTAACTGTGAATGATGTCATGTATGGTCTTTAAGTGTGTGCGTAAGTTTTGATAAATTTTAACTTCTTATAACAGATTTGTGTATATTTTATGGCAGTAAATGATAAAATAGACAGGTACCTACATATATTTTATGCATTTGTGGCCTTTTCCTTAAATTTTTTTGATATTTTCATACTAAATGGTTCATCTATCATTTTTCAAATTATTGTAAACCTCCAAAAAATGTTTCAGTATATTTATTGAAAAAACTCACATATATGTGGACTTGTGCTATTCAAACTTGTGTTTTCCAAGCATCAACTGTATTTTCAAACAGAACACACATGAAGTGCTTTCAGAATGAATCTTGCAGATGATTTTCTTTACTATGTTGGGCAAGATGATGTGCACAAACTAAGTGACAGATGGCGATGGCTTACTTATCTGATAACCTCAGCTCCTAGGAGCACACTGAGATACGAGGAGTTTGCAAAAAAAGTCTCTGAGTAATTAAATCCGGGTCACGTAGGTCTGGCCTGACATTCTGCTGGTTCTTCCCATGCAGGAGTGTGTTGGGGCCTCAACCTCTTTTATGTAAGATAAATCTATCAAATTTGGTCACCGGGGAGACATCAACTGCTCAGCAGACTGGAAGCAGCAAATAGAAGAGGGAAAAAAAAAGAGCGGTATACAAATAGACAGTTGGAAATACAGTACAAAGCAGTAGGAAGAGAGAGCTTAATGAAAGGAGATGGAATTAAACTATTAACACCACATCCAAATCTGAACAGTCACAGCAGGCAGTCCGCTGAGTGTGCAGGTTAAGGGGCCTCCAAACTTAAAGCCTCCATTAAACTGCAGCAACTCGATATGACCCTGGATCTTCAAAACCAATGTTCAAATTATGTTTGGCAAATCAAATTTAAGAAAGCAGGGATGTATAGGATTTATTAAAAATTTCCCATTAAACTGATTAAAGTGAAGGGTAATTAAACCTTTTATTATTTGGAAAGTTATCTTCTTCAATCCCACTTTACTCAGTAATGATGCAACCCTGGTCATGCATGAAAATATGTTAGAGCTTTTAGCAAAGAAGCTTCTATTTAAAGAGGTCTCTAGTGGGCTGGGTCATCTTTCATTTAGTTTGGTCCTCCCTCCTAACAGTCATTCTGAAAGTGCACAGATCTGATTCTCCTGCCAGAAGAGGAACCAGGCTCTCATCCTCCCAGGCATGCAGGCATCACCTCTGCCTGCATGCCCATGAACTCAGAGAAGCCAGCAGGGGTCCTTTGTAGGCTCTGCCCCTCTGCAACCTAACACTGTCCCTCCCAAGCCTTGTGGGTGTAGAGTCATGTCTTTGGGAACATCGAAGTTCCTGTGGCTGCTTTTGTCCCTTGATTCCTTCCTTCTTTTTTCTTCGAAATTAGTTTTTATTTTTATTAGAATTATGCATGTACATAAAGAACCAAATAATTCTCTCTCCCCAGAAGCAGTCACATTCAATGCCTTTGGCTGATTGTTTCCCTTCTTTAGTATTTATGTTCATATTTCTAATTAACATGCTTACATTGTTTACTAAGAATTGTTTTTCAAGCATTACCTATTAAATTCCCCAGATGAAAGATGATAATTTTGCTATTTTTTAACCACCCCACTGTCAGGACACAAAGATCTAAGTATTAGTTAATCCAGCTTCCAGACCGTTCTTCCCTTTTATCACTGGTTTTACCCCAGTTTCCAGAGGTACCTGGTCACCAGGTTATTTCTGAGCTGGTGGTCTGCCTGTGAGTCAGGCTGTGTCAGGAACCCCATCACCAGCTTCAGAGTCAGGCTCCCTGCATGAGCAGCTAAGTCAATTATCATTTGCTTGGCTGTTACTCTGTTTTCAGAATTTTGTTGCTCCCATTTTCTTTGTCCTTATGGATTTGTGGCTTTATAAAAACCGCTTACCATCATTTTAACGAGCTTTTAGAAGGGAGTAGAGATTAAATGCATTTGTTAATTTGCCATCTTTAAAAGGATGTCATTGATTTCTTCTTTTCCTGCTCTAGAGAACAATTTATTTTCCATTTAAAATCACCTGACAGAAACACCTAGCTCACTGAGGCAATGCAGTTTGGGTTTCCTTCTTGATCATCTTCTTATCCTTTATTAAGCACACCAATTCAGTGACTAGAAAGGAAATTATAATCTAAAAATAGGCTACAGTTTTGACATTGAAAGAGACAAAGAGATAGATATTAGAAAGTAGAAGACTTTTGCCCTGAAAGAATTTGGCAAATCTTTTCCCAACTTTTATATATTTCTAACGAATAAACTTTATGATGTTTCTCTCTTTGCAGACTCCTATTCAGCTCCCCTGCTGGTGTTTCCTTACCAATCCCCTACTCATTCTTGTACGCCACATCACTTCTCACTCCCATGGTGGCCCAGACTCACTCATCCCATATCACCCCTGCAGGATCTGATATTTAATTGTCCCTTTGGCTGGCACTGCTGATCTCTGACTCTGAGCAAAGTCTCCACACTCTTGCCCCCATCTTGAATCCCCGCTTTCACTTCCTCACCTCCAAAGTTGGTGTTCTCCTATGATGCTACTTCCTTGTTTACCTCCACATTGGAAAACACTCCTCTCTTTTCAGAATTTTTCTAAATGTCACAGCTTTTTGTATTATCTCAGAAAAGGAGCCTTTCCCCTTTTCTAAGGTCAAGTGTTTCACGACTGTATTTCATTCCTGACCTTACATCTTTCATCCTGAATCTCTGCCTCATCTTAATGTCTTCCTCTTCACTAGGTTGCTTATATTCCTAGCAACATGATTTTATTATTAAAATTTCTCTTTTACCCACAACTCTCTGTGCTACTGCATTCTCTACTTAACAGAGTGGACTATGCAGGCAGGCTGCCTCCAACTGCGCATCACCGAGTTGTTACCACTGCTCTTTCCACTGTCTCTTTGGGTCCTCTACTATCTGGTTGCATAGGTTCCTAGCCTACCTTGGTTGGAGTCATCACTTCTCAGCATTCCTCTCCTGCCCACTCCTTCTTTCCAGTACTAACATCAGCATATATGCATATCCCTATGTAAAAAATTGATTACACAGCCAGGAGCCTAAATCCTTCTGAACTAGGGCCACTTTTTAACATGTGATTAGGGGTAGGTGTCTGATTCTTTGTTTCCATTCAATTATTGAAATGAGGTTTTAACTAATAAAAATATATATATTTGTACTTTAAAATTTGATCTCAGCACTTTGGGAGGCCGAGGCAGGTGGATCACAAGGTCAAGAGATCGAGACCATCCTGGCCAACCATGGTGAAACCCTGTCTCTACCAAAAATACAACAATTAGGTGGGCATGGTGGCGCATGCCTGTAGTCCCAGCTACTTGGGAGGCTGAGGCAGGGAATTGCTTGAACCCGGGAGGCGGAGGTTGCAGTGAGCCGAGATCGTGCCACTGCACTCCAGCCTGGCGCCTGGCGACAAAGCAAGACTCTGTCTCAAAAAAAAAAAAAAAGAATAAAGAAAAAATTGAAATATATCTAAAATAATCCTCTCTTGCAGCACTTTGGTGACCTATATCTGTTGGCAAGCAGAATACCAGTTGCTTATCAAAAGTAAGATCTTATGCAAATGTCTTTTGAGCCCAATACAAACTAGCAATTCTTCAAATGACTAATGACTATATGTCCTTGCCATAATTACAAACATGAGAAACAAAAGATCAAGGGACTCTAAAGTAAGTACTTAGGATAACGGAAGGGCTGTGGAGGCATTCAGCAGTAACTGTGAAACCAAAAGATAATCTTAACATGTTTCTAAAGATCTTTAACCCCAGAGCAACTTGAACCATTACACAGTGGTTATTCTCCCCCTATCCTAAGCAAAACCCCTAATAGATAAGATTCTTCACCCATAAATACAAGCAGATGTATCAGTTACTGAAATCAAACATAAACAGAAAGCCACATTATACTTAAAATTAGCAAATATTATAAACCAATGAATTGAGAATAACTCAAATTGTTGAATTAATAGTTTTTTTCTGATAAACAGTTCTTTTTTCAAATTCCACAAAGTCCACAATTTTCACAGCAATACATGCATTTAATGAAATTAAATAATTAAAGTCAAATCATATTTAGTAAGTTAATCTTTGGGCAACCACTCTGTGCAGAATGTTAGAACAGATGTCATGTGTAAGATACAGAGAGCAACTTAGTATACAATCTTGGTGCTTTAGGAGGTTATCATCCTGTTTATAAGAAGGAATGCATTAATAAAACACAGTAACTGAAGAAGCCCTACCAACGGAAGCAAATAAATGGTTTAAAGGGCTGAATAGAATGTTTTAGGTAACATAAATCCTGGAATTTTGAAAGGTCTCCTAGAACACTGTTAAGATAATTCAAAAAAGAGAAAGTATAGACTGCCAGAGAGGAAAGAGAAAGAAGTCTCAACAGATGAGTGGTGTGTGAAAATATGAGTAAGGAGAAACACAGGGAATGGGGACAGGCAGCCTAAAGCAGAGGGTGGATGGCTCAACAGCTCTTCCCTTCTTTCCTCACTCTCCAGAAGTACCTTCCTTATCTATTGCTGGCTGCCTCCCATCAGGTTCTGCCTACGGACATTCTCTGCACATAGCTATTACAGTCAGTACCTGAAAGCTCGGTCCCTCTCCTGTTCTGCACAAAAACCAATGTCTCCCCAGTGCCTCACACACCAACTTGAGACTCCTGAATAATACACAGTAAGTACTCAATATATTTACTGTGCTTACTTCCACATCTCCTGTTCAATTTGAAGGTTCCAGAAGGCAACCAATCGTGATTTTTTTCATGTTTTGCTTTGCAAGAGCTACCAAGTACCTTATGCATATAGAAGTTCAAAACACACCTATTAAATGAATGAGCAGATGATTTAATTAATAAATTTTATATAATATTGGCAAAGTGGTGGGCTCGTTGGTAGATGACCTCACTCCTCCTGGCAAGGTTAGGAGTTTCGATTTGTTACCAGAGACCCTGCCAAGCCTCTGGATGATTTTGTCTAGGACATGATAAAAATTGTGTTTGAATAACTTGTTTTAAATGTAAATTGTAGGGTGAATTAGTAGAAAGATCACTTTGCTAACAATATTTGCTGTCAAGATGAGTAAAACAAGATGGGGACTGTGGAGTTTGCTGACTTGTCACTAATAAGAATACTCTTTCAATAAATACCAGAAAAGAAAAATGTCACTCATATCCTTATCTTTGATCTATTTTAAACAAGTTCATTTCTGAGATAAGGGATGATCTTTTTTTTTCCATGGTAGGCAATACAGTTTCCTGGTTTTAAAGAATAGCAACCAAAAAACCTTAGAAAGTCAGGACAGTTTTTTTTTATGACTTGAAAATATTCTCCATATTAGAATCTCCCAAATCAACACTCAAAAAATTAGAAAATTAAAATCACTCCATTTTGTATATTCTTATTACAATGCAGAACACTGAATTTTTTGGTTTTGCCACAGCTAAAATCAACTGGATAATTGTTTATATAAGTAGAATTTTATAATCTGGTATATCATTTGGATGTTAAATTAATGAATTTATCAGCACTTGAAAATGCCAGTGTATTAAAAAGTATCAGGAGGTTGTAAACTGGTGCCCATCTCCTTTACAAGAAGTCATTCTCCCTCTGCTCAAGCCTTACCTATCCTACTGGGTACTAAAGGCACAGGTGACCAGCAGGACCTTTGGCATCACAGTTAACACTGAAAAAGAGGTTAGTGCAGAGTTTCTAATTCCTGGCTGTACACTAGAAACACCTGGGAATTTTATTTTATTTTATTTTTGAGATGGAGTTTCGCTCTTGTTACCCAGGCTGGAGTGCAATGGCGCGATCTCGGCTCACTGCAACCTCTGCCTCCTGGGTTCAGGCAATTCTCCTGCCTCAGCCTCCTGAGTAGCTGGGACTACAGGCACACGCCACCATGCCCAGCTAATTTTTTGTATTTTTAGTAGAGATGAGGTTTCACCATGTTGACCAGGATGGTCTCAATCTCTTGACCTCGTGATCCACCAGCCTCGGCCTCCCAAAGTGCTGGGATTCATTCTCAGCTCCACACCTCAGACCACCAATGTTGATGTATTTTGAAAGTTCACACCCCTCCGCCCCCAGCTCCAGTGAGCATATCACCTAAGGTTGCAAACCACTGAATTGGTATTTTCTTTAGCTGTAGAAAAATAATTTTCTTGATATAGCATCCAAAAAATGAAATAGTTTTGGGACAAAGTATATGATGCTACTAATTTTATTTTAAACAGAGGAAACAAACTTTCACTTACCTGCCTTCTGACAATGTACGATCTTTTCATACACAGCATCTGCATTTTCAATCAATGCCTTGAGGGACTGAATCATCTGCAAAGGGAACATCCAGACATGAGATTACACCTGACAACTAGATATACTCTCCTGCATTCATGCACAGACTCTTCTCCTAAAACAGGCTGATGTGATGATATCAAATGCCTTTTTATCTGACTTTCCACTACTCAACTTCAAATGTACATGCAAAAAAATGATAAAATCACGCATCCCACATAATGGTTAAAACAAGATGTGAGTAGTATTACATTACAAGTGCAGTGAGGCTAGTACGACATTGAACTTGAACCCTGAGTCAATACTGAAACTGAGTCCATTTTAGCGTGAAAAGCTACAAATATGTGTGCAAATGTGATCTGACTTTTAAATTGTATTTTTGGTTATCCTTTTTAACACAATTTTCAACTTCATCTTATAGAAAACTTCAACACCTACATACTTCACTCATTTCAGCCAAAATGTCATCATCTGAAAATCAGTTTCAAACATACAATGAGAATTTTTTAAAAACAGCATCTATTTGATACCATTCATCACTAATAGCACCTCTCAAACTAGTATTTTTACATTCCTACTAATGGTTTTTAAAATGTTCAAATTTGAATTCTTGTTCCAAATTGCATGTGCGTGTTTTAAGAACCCAAGCTTGAAGAAGAGAAAGAATCAGGGAATAGCTGATCGATCCATTATTTTACTCACCAAAAAGCTAGGAAAAGATCACTCTGAAGTAATCTTTTCAGCTCTAGAATAATTATGAAAAGGAAATGGGATAGCCAGATACAACTCTCATGGCTCAAATGGGAACAATTATGATACCTGCCTTAGTGTAAATTCTAAATATTTGTATTTAAATGTCCAGCCATTTTGCATTGTAATATTATTCATCTATTTTTCATGACCATCACATTCTAAGTAACAAACACCGATCCATTCCTTTCATTTCTGCCTCGGTTTTTTTCTTTCTCTTCTTTTAAGAGACACGGTCTGTTCTGTCACCCAGACTGGAGTGCAGTGGTTGCTCTCCAGCTCCCAGGCACAAGTGATTCTCCAGTCTCTGTCTCCTAGGTAGCTGGACTACAGGTATGTGACACCATGCTTGACTAATTTTTAAATTCTCTGTAGAGATAGGATTTTGCTATATTGCCCAGGCTGGTCTTAAACTCCTGGGGACAAGTGATCTTTCTACCTTGGCCTCCCAAGTGCTGGGATTACAGGCATAACCCACTGGACCTGACCTGCCTTATTTTTCTTTATGGCATTTATCAGTAACTGTCATAATAATTATTTTATAGTAACTAAATATACATAGGTTGAATTATTTGTATAACTCAAAACCACCATATTTTGGTAAGTTACATTTATTTAAAATATAACCAACACATCTCTTAAAAAATGTACTAGCTTCTTAAGGTTAGTCAAATAGTATTTATCAACCTGCACAGTTCTAAAAAAAAAAAAAATGGTAAACATCAAAAGTTTGAAGGCCAAGGTAGGCATTTATTTACATCTTCATAATGTATCTTTAATCATCACTGGGGTCTACTACAGGCAGCCCTTGTGTGGAAACTGGGGACACATGACCTACAGGATACAACCCCTGTCTTCAGGAAGTCCACAGCCTATGGCAGAGTTTGCACTTTGGAATTCAGCATTTTCAAATTCATTCTTCAAGATCTGAGTCATTCCTGTAAATTAAAATATTCTATTTTACAGCTTGACATATTGAATAGGCAGCAATAAAAATGAATCGTTAAGAACTTTATTATACTGATATAAAGTCATTTGTACCATTACGTAATTTGCATACTGAAAAGGTTCATACCGTCATCAAGTAACCTTTTTCAGCTTTGATGTCAAGCCAAATGAGAGATACAAAGAAGCAAGGACTTCTTCAAGCAAGGATGGTGATTGTCACAGCTTAGTATCAAAGAACTGGGCAACTGTGCCCCCGTCATTCAAACAGGAAAAGAGAAAAAAAATCATCCATAAAATGAACCCAGTGATGAAACAAATGAGCAGGACAGGAGCAAAAGCAGAAGGAGTGGAAGAGAAGAAAACAGCAGCATTAAGTGGAGGCTCACAATTGTAGACGAGAAACTCATCCTGAGAGTGGTGTAGAGGCAGAAAGAACACAGATTTATATGGATTCTAATCCTGCTTCTATTACTCATTAACTCTGTCACCTAGGACAAGATTTTTAACCCCAAAGAAAGCCCTAATTTCCTACCCATAAAATAAGTTTATTAAAGACATTACACCTCATAATGTGAGAATAAATGAAAGGATGCTTGAGGAGCAACTGGCACAGTGAAGACACTTGCAAGACACTCCATTTTTCCAGGAGGCCTAGCACAGCATTTTCTGGTAGCCTCAAATTAGCTGAATGTCCTCCTTTCATATGTTTACTGGCAGGGTTTCCAATACTCATTACTAATTTTAGTTCCTCTTGAAAAGCTGGGTGTGATGAAGCTCAGAGAAACAAGTTGTATTATTATTCTTAGAATCGACTTCCAGTTTAAGTAACACCAAAGGTTAAACAACTATGCGCCTTCCAGCTATAAAATATATGCAAGGCTGAATAAATACATATCTATCTCAAGGGTCTGGATACAGAAGCTCATCTGCCTCCTAAACTCTGTAACACTTGAAGGATCATTTGTTTATTCTTGGGACAATCATTTACTGAGGCTCTCTGTGTGTGGGACCCTGATCTAAGGGCCGAGTATGAATTAAGAACAGTTGCTGCAATGGGACGATGGTAAGAAAATAAGACAGATGCACAAACAACTAAAAATATGGGATTATTATTGTAGCCCATGAGCTATCAGATGTGATTAAATACTCCTAAACTATAGCCCTTTGGTGAGATATTTAATGGTGAGGTACTTGCAGTGTAATGGTAGCCATGTTGACACCCACAGAAGGATCTGCTTGTGGCTTAGATTTCAATACAGGAAGTTCCTTTGCTGATAATGAGTGAATATTGTCCCCCCATTCATGAGTAGTATATAAAATATGAAGATGACTACTACATCAGGGTGGAGAACACAAATAGTGAGAAGCCATTCCTCCTAGGTTTGGAAGTAAACAGCAGGAGGCATTTGCAGACTGTTATTCCAGGGGAAACCAGCCTAGAAGGTAAGCCCATAGTAAACAATCAGCAAAGCTTAGACAAGGCAGGCAAAAGACACATCCAGACCTCAGCAGAGATGATTCACATTGTTACACCTGTTATCAAATATTTGCACTACTTGCTTCAGAAGGAGGAACTGCCAGTTAGTATCTTTTTATAGTTTTGGGGTACATATTTATAATTAAATTAATGTATATTGGCTGGGCACGGTGGCTCAAGCCTGTAATCCCAGCACTTTGGGAGGCCGAGGTGGGTGGATCACGAGGTCAAGAGATTGAGACCATCCTGGTCAACATGGTGAAACCCCGTCTCTACTAAAAATACAAAAAATTAGCTGGGCATGGTGGCACGTGCCTGTTAATCCCAGCTACTCAGGAGGCTGAGGCAGGAGAATTGCCTGAACCCAGGAGACGGAGGTTGCGGTGAGCCGAGATCGTGCCACTGCACTCCAGCCTGGGTAACAAAAGCGAAACTCCGTCTCAAAAAAAAGAAAAAAAAATTAATGTATGTTAACAGTTTACAGTTCTTGTTCTTAACAGGCATATAATCTTCAACTTTTGCAGTATTGCATAAATTCTCCTTGAGTCTAAGAGCTCCTCTAGGTGCTCCTAAGGAAGCTCTTAGGACTGTGGGTTCCTACAGGAACACCAGGTGAAGAGTCTAGTCGGATTAGAGGACAGATTAGGCAATGGGTCTTCTGGCCTCTACTCAGAGGGCTAATGTTTCCCTTTCATTCTGCCATCAATTATAACTGAATGTAGTGTACATGGCACTGAGGATGCAGCACAGGCAACATGGGACCATCAGCTGATGTAGCAGGAGCCACTTTCTGTCTGGGTCTGCTACTTTATAACAAGCCTGTACTATTATGATTATAAATAGTACAAGTGTTGGTTAAATGAACCAAAATGAAAGTAATTCAACATTTCTTCATCAAGTATGTACTTAGTGCTTTCTATTTTATTTACTGATCACATTATCCATGTCAAGTTAGTATTTATATGAGTACTCAGTTTTACAGATGTGAACACTGAAGACCTACTTGAAATATAAGCAGTCTTTCAAGGTCATCTGGTATTATAGGCAAAATAATTGTAATTAGTATGTCAAGAAAGTGGTATTGTTTGACCTTGAAGTCTCTGCTTTATCCACAAAACCATAATAGGTCTTGACACATGAGTGGCAATTGCACAAGTGAAGAGGAAAGGGTGTTCCAACCAGATGAACGCCCAAAAGCAGAGGAAATTTTGTAACTCCTAAAAGGTGCTACACACACTATAGTAATATCATCTCAATTACTAACATTGACCCAAAGTTGTTTTTTAAAAAATAATATTTCTATAAAGCACTTTGAGAAAACATTTTAAAATGACAACAATAAATTACTTGTCTCCATTTTACAATTTGTTATTATAAATAAGATATAATTTATATTTAATATGAAACTACTAGAATAAGCATCTCAGATTAGACAAAAGCAGATGTATGGGGAGTAATACAGATGCATGAGCCAAAGAAAAAAGCTACTTTATCTTGTTTTCTTTGTGTGAATTACATTGATATGTCACTAGAATGCAAGGCCAAGTAGAGTGGTTGATTATATAAGAATTATTTGCATTAATACAAATGCATGAATTTCATCAAGCCCTTGTAAACACACAGGTGTAAGTCTTGGCACAGCAATCAGATACCATGCTGCCAGCCTGAGTAATTCGCCACATGGATGCTTATATCGATTTTTTCAGGGCAAGATGCTTTTATATAGTTGTTGCTAATGGATTTTATATTAGTGACTTGTTAACCAGTGCCTCCTACATTTCTGGAACGAATGTGTTAGGAAAATCTATGGATTTAACATAGCCTAGAAATCTATTTCATAAATTTGATCACCTCTAATATAAGATTTTAATAAAAAATCTGAGCAGATGAAAAGCAGGAAATTTCAACAAAAGGCAAAGTAAAAATTAAAATTGATATTTTATTATGCTGGAAAGAAACCTTTCATAAGAGTGCTGTGTTTTGAAAGTAACTCCCATGTTAGTGTAAAGTAAACTTCTCTGTTTATAGATATGGTTATAAGAAGGGTTATTATATACTTATTTTATATATATAATATTTTTATTATATAAAATGTTTTATATATTATATATTTTTATATTAAACTATATTTATTACCATATATTTATATTGTTTTATATTTGTTATATATATACATTTATATATTTATATATTACTAGATTTCTATAGACTGCTCCTTCATATTCTGTTTTGAAACTTGTTTATCAACCAAAAAATCCCATTTTCAGAAGCAAGTCTGTGGTTTTATATAAGGACCTTATGTCTGATTTTAGACAATTCACTGAATTGCCTTTCATCTTAAGAACATAGATTTTGTTAATAATTATAAAAGTAGTTTGCCAATAATTTTAAATCCTTGGGTGAAAGAAGTTTTAGAAGTAACATCTTCTGAATTCTAGGTTTTTTTCCCCCTTTATCTTGTTTTGAATCTCAGTTTCAGATAGAAAATCCCAACCTCTAAACTCCTTCCTTTGCCTGTCCTACTCAACACAGATGTGGCTACTGCATCTTCTACTGTAGCTGTTTCTAATGAAGTTACAAAGTCTTAGAAGTCCTAAAGTTGCTATGAAAGTAAAAGGCTAGATAGTAAAAAAGCTTCTTAATTATTTGACACATAACATGGAAGTATCTTTCCAAACTCAAAAAATTTAAAGATTATCATTCTCAAACATGCCAATGGACTTACAAAAATGACAAAGTATACACCTGGCCCTAACCAGTGAATGACCCCATACTGCCATGACCCCCTTGGAGATCCGTGAGAGGCCTCAGTGTACCAGTGAATGCCCAGGTGGCAGATGTGGCTTCAGGCACCACCAGGCTCAGGATGACCTTGGGAGGACTGGACCAAAGCAGGACTTGTTTCTCTGGACTCCAGGGATGAATACAAAACAGTAAATGTGATCATGGATAAGGTTTTCAGAAGACAGGAATTAATTCAATCCAAAGTAATTTTTCCCCATCTAGTCAGAATTAGCTGATTGGCAGCCTCTGCTATGGTTTAAATGTGTCACCTTCAAAATTCAAGTATTGCCTATGTGATTGTATTAACAGGCAGGGTCTTTAAAAGGTGATGAAGCCAAGAGGACTCCTCCTAGTCAATGGGATTAAGGTCTTTATAGAAGAGGTTTCACACAGTGTTCGGCTAGTATCCGTCTGTATCCTGCCACATGAGGCCCCAGTCAGAAGACCCACGCAAGATACTGAGCCTTGATTTTGGACTTCTCAGCCTTCATCACTCTGAGAAAGTAAGTTTCAGTTTTTATAAATTACTCAGGCTGTGGTATTCTGTTATAGCAGCACAAAATGGATTAAAACAGCCTCTTAAAGCTCAATGTCCCTGGTGGGTGATCAGCCTTGTTGTGCTGTGTGGCCCCTGCAACGCTGGTCCGTTCAACTAATGCCATGAATGGGGCAGAAAGTAAGAGCAAGATGCCCTCAGGAGTTTGTAAGCTTTGGTGCTTTTCTCTGCACTCTTGAAAGAAATACCTCTCTGAGTTAACAATATAATTTCTCTTTTTAACACTTTAAAATAATTATTACTGTGTGGGTGAAGAACTTTAGTTCGGTTCTAAAACATCGGGATTTGAGACGTCTTAACTGAAATCTAGAGGTTAAGTTTTTCCTTTACTAAAGCTTCCAAGTACAGAAAAATCTCACAAAGTTGAACTAACAGAAGAGGCACCATTTATAAAGTTATTGTTGGAAAATAAAACACAGTTTTAAATACTTAAACATAATATAGAAGTCACGTATTTAAATTGAAATGCTAAAGGATTATTGCCATAGGGGTCTTTGCCCAGCTGTGCGCTACATGAAACCCAGCTCCCTTTTCCATCTCACATGGAGGGAGAATTGCAGCTGGGGTCCACTGTGGGGAGGGCAGAGAGCCGGTGACGATCAAGTGTCGAGGTCTGTCATATCTTTAAGAGCTGTGGTCATCCTCCTTTCCAGCAAGGTCACTATGAAGACACTTTCTAAACAACAAACGGTTTCCAGAGTAACTTGTCCTGCGTGTGTCATGAAACTTCACTTCCACTACTACATCTTTCACTATGCAAATTATAGGGAAAGTAAAAGCCTATATAGGAGAAAGTGATAGGAAGAACCTGAGATGTGCTTGATAAAAAGTACTACTCAACTGTTAACATACAGAGGAGTATATTTGGGTGCTGCCACACATACGACCCCGCTGCAGCCATGATGTGGAAGGGCAGGACTTGAAATCATGTAAAATACTGTTAAGCTGTCTAGGTATTAGACAGCTCATGTTAGAGAATGTGAGGAAACATGAATGGAAAAGGAGCAAGGGCCAGATTGGGTAAGACCCGCACTTCTACACTGCGGAGTTTGAATTTCATCGCAAACTCTAGACAATTTTAAGCAGACGTGTTGTGATCAAAATAAAATCTCAGAACCATGAATAAGGATCAGTGTGAAGAAGAAATGGGAGATGGGGGCACAAAAGTGGACACAGGAAGCAGGTGGGGGCCACTGCTATATGAGGGACTTGAATGGCAGCAGAGGGGCTGGGAAAGAAAGGATGACATGAAGAGATGATGTAGAGGAGGACTCCAAGGTTGATTTGCTGTGGACACAGAAGGAAGAGCCAAGATAAGTGAGGAAAACTGGTCAGGATAAGAAAAATTGTAACACACCCTACAGTTATAGGGTGCTTTACAGTTTACAACTAAACATGTTACACATTGTACAGTGCTTTATAGTTAAGTATGTTAATGCATTTAGGATGTGAACTTCCACCTTAGTTGAATTGAGCTGGTGGTTACAGTAGGGAAGTGTAAGAATCTCCAGTAGCAACCAGAAATTACATGACAGCTTTGTTCTGGCACTGGATAATTAAAAATTTTCTGTACAGAGGTAGTAGCTGAGATGAAAGAATGTCTGTATCTCTGAGGGAGGAATTTTAAAGATGAATGAACACTGCATGATGCCCCAGAATCACTGGAATAAGTAGAAAGAATAATAACTAGTATGACAGGTGCAAGAGTGGTCAGAGGGCAGGAAAAAACAAGGATGCTAAACATTTACAGATGCGTGCAGAGAGAGGTACTGGGAGGAGGGTGAGTCCACAGTACTGGAAGCTGTGGATCTGCTCATTTGGTGATCTTGAGTAATTGTGGAGAATATACATTAAGTCTTTTCTTAACATGGATAGGTTCTTGGAAACTGGGACTTTAAGTGGACAATGTACAACAAAACCAATTTTACCATAGGCTAACTGATATAAACAAGAATTACATTTCCACAGCATATTTCTAGTCATAAAAACATCATCGAACTTCTCAATAAAGATCAAAACACTTCTAATTTTAAATGATGAAATAAATGTGAACTACACATATATTTAAGAAAGATTAATGAAAACAAGTAAGATCATTATTTACTCCATTTGTGGTGAATCTCTAAGTGATAGTAGTCATAGTGGTGGTGTGTTAAATTAAGGAACCAATGTTTGCAAAGTGACAGTTTTCAGAGGAACCTCCTACTATCGCACAGCTCAAAAACAGTTAACAAATAGCATCATGCATTTGGATGATTTTCAAATACTTGACAAATTTTTATTTTCCAGTAACTCATATTCGTTCATTCATTTCCCAACCCACTTATTCCAGTCAGGATCTAAGGTGGCCAGAGCCTATCCCAGCAGCTCAGGGTGCAAGAGGAACCCACCCTGGACAGGATGCCATCCCATTGCAGGGTATACTCACACACACACAACCATAGTCACTCACACTTAGACCCTGTAGATTGTCCAATCCACCTGGAATTCACATCTTTGGTAAGTGGGCGGAAACCAGAGTACCTGGAGAAAACCCACACAGATGTGGGAGAACATGCAAACTCCACACAAGTGGCTCCAGCTGGAAATCGACTTTTTTTTTTCTTCTTCAGTGTTATAATGAAATGATGCTGAACAACATGACATTATTCAAGAACCTGCTGTAATTGCAGTATGACAGTTCTGCAATCCTGAAACTCACCTCCATATACAAAATTGTGCAATAAAAACCACAGTGCTTATAAGGAAAGTGGGTTGGGACACAACACTCAAAACTTTGACAGTGACACATAAAAAGACAGACATTTCATTGTTCTTCATAGGTTAAGTGGTTAAAGAATGAAAAAATATTACAACAAACATGGCATTAACCTTAAAAAAGACCTGAAGGTTGCTGGTGGAAGTGGGCATTGGAAGAGTTGCAGCTTGTGAGTCACTGCGAAGTGGCGAAAGGAGAGTGATCTGAAATCCAACGGAAAATTATAACACAAGATGTGGAGGGTGTAGCTCATAACACTTTTGGTGAATTGAAAGAGATGGTGGATGTTTGAGGGGTGTGTATGTAATTTCAGTTCACCCAGGTGCAGTTTTGTGCACACAAAGTTGTGCATAAAAAATGCAATATTTGTGGTATGTTCAAATTGTTACCTAATGTATAAACTGCATTCAAGCAAGTTTGAATTTTCAAAATGAGTACTGTAGTAGAACTTACTACAGAAGGGAGAATACTTCAAAATATTTAGAAGAAACGTGTTTACAAAATTCTTCTGTGCAATTTTGTTTGAAGTCTCAGTTAAACTCTCAGTTTCTACCACATTCAAAGCATGGTTTTGGCATCATATAAGCCCGATTCAACACTGTATTCAACTAGTTTAACAATCATTTCTTGCCAGAGAACAGATGCCAAATGCTATATAAATCTGGAATGAATTCTGAATTATGAGTGACCCAGGGTCCACATGTAGGAAGCTAACAATTCTCTAAGTTTTTTCAACATACTCTAACTTTTCATAAAGCCCACTTCAGAGCTAGCATAGTGCCTAAGGGATCAATGTGTCTCTCCTGTTACATAACTTTTATCTAAACCCTAATACAGTCAGAACCTCTTATGTACCACATTTCAGATAAAAATCCTATAAAATAACATCCCATCTTATCTATAGGTATCTAGTTGAATTTTCACATTACAAAAAGTCTCCTCTAACACAGTCAATGTCACTATCACTTCTCACTCTAATATATAATCATATTCACTCACTTAGAAGGCGGCCACGTTTCACAGGTTAAACTTTAAGTGCCATTTCTAAATGTAATCACCATACAAACATAAGATACAGGCATAAGCATACTATACAGTGTAATACAGGTGTCTCCTGCATTCACTCAGTAACCATTTGATTTCAACGTAACATTCATGAAATAAATAGTATCATGTAGTCAAAAGAACCAGTTTATTTCCTTAAGTTCTTCAAGTTACTTTCTACCAGGTGCTGTATGTCCAAGGCACACTGCATGGACCTACTGTTTACAGTTGTGGGTATTTCTGAGAGGCACTTCCTGCATTAGCCACTAGAAGTCCTTAGTAATACACATTTGTTAGGCTGAGAGGAGAGGGAAAAGGAGCAAAGATAAGGGAAAACAGTACAAAGAGGATAGCGGGCAAAAAATTAAAAAGCACATCTAGAGGATTAAAAGAAAAAAAATAGACAAAATCACAGAGGCAGAGCTTAGGGCAATCAAAATAATGAACACACCAGGGTGATTTATCTCACCAAAAACTGTGCTTTTAAATCAGGTAAGAAATTTTTATTTTTATGCTGTCAACTGAATAAGCCATAAAGTCACAACCAGACTTAGATTTAAAAGGCATTCACTACTATTTCTAGATTGAGATTTAGTATTACTAGAAGTCTCCATGTGGTCCCAATACTTTTAAATAGACCAGAGGCTGGCAAAGTTCTGCTGTGCATAATAGCTTGGGGAAACTGAAAGGGGTGCTGGAAAAATCTGGGGTTCCAGTATGCCAAAAGATTAGTTATGAAGTCAGTGAATGTACTTTAAATACTTACCCTACTCTAAATTGTTGGCAAATATTTCAAATTTTAGTTTTTAACCAAAACTTTAAGAAATGAAAGTTATTCCATCTTATTTCAGGAAATAAACAGAATTTCAAAAAATGGAAGGAATTTTAAATTTGATCTTGTAGTTTCTGGTCCTGAACAATACGATATTCATAGGAAAAGCAAAAAAAAAAAAAAAAAAAAAAGTTGAAAATCAAGCAACCACACAGAACCTCAAATACCCTGCAAAGGAACTCTGTTGCAATTATAAAACTATCAAGAAAAGCTATATAATAATTTCTACCAGTTTATGCAGTAATTTATTATGCTATGCTTTTCTATATGAAGAGCATGCACACAGTAAGTTCACATGCATTTAAATGATAATCATCCTCGTCTCTATTTTATTATCAACCTTACATGACCAGAAGTCTCGTTAGGGGAGAACCTGGTGTGCTACATATCATTTTGCACATGATTACTGTGGGAAGCCTTATACAATAGTCACACATTAGACAGTCTACTTTACAGCACATGATGAACTGCTTTGCACCATGGTTGCCTCAAGGATGTACAAACACACAAACCCCACCCTCTACCAGGCCTTTGGTCATGTCAAGCCTGTCTACACTATAAAACACTTCTCAGCTTTTCTAAGCTACAATAATGTCCTAACATGACATCCTCATCCCATCCCAGAGAATATGAAATTTATGTGTGGCTTGTGCTCAAGTATCCTCTACAGTCATGAAAGGAGGAAAGGATATGAGTAGGCGAAGGGATTTAGCAACTCAGAAGGAACTTTCGACAGGTACCGTGGGCAGCCAGGTGCAGTCCAGCGAGGATGGAGTCGACAGCCATCTTGCTGGCTTACTTCTCTA